TTAGAACCAATACTGACCCTCTTCATCACACTCCTCCTCTTCTTCCTCCTGACAGCCGGATGTACGGTACCAGGAGTGTGTCACCCCAAGACGTCAGTTCGGTCGATGTCGTCATCTACAGTACTGCATCTTGCCGGAGTTCCTCAATAATTATTCGCTGTTTGTGAGATACGCCTGCGTTATCCGGAACACGTGAGTTGATGATGATGCTTGTTGTTGTTTTGTTATTATTTATGTGATTGAGAGTTATGATTCACGCGTAATATTGACAGGTTTATTGGCGTATGCTGCTCACGACACACAGTGGATCTAGGAACTACACTGGAGCTTTCTACACCTACTCCAACACCTGCGCCTGCCCCTAGATGTGGTGTAAGTGACCGCACGACCACTAGGATTGTCGGAGGAGTAGCAACCAGTCCAGGAGAGTTCCCATGGGTGGTATCCATCCTAAGGAGAGATGCTACTCCAAACCAATACTGTGCTGGCGTTCTTATCTCCAACAGACACGTCCTGACTGTTGCCCACTGCCTCGCCGGGTGAGTGTTAGGGGGCTAGGACTGCCTGGTTTAGTCTACGTTTGTGTATAATGTCTGTGTATAACATCTGAATATAAATGTATGTCTGTAAAGTATGTCTTCTTGTATAATATGTTAAAGAGGTTTTAATAACATGCTGAGGAATCTTAAAACGAATTTTTCTCTTTCTCTTTCCATTTTTCCTCTTTAATCGTTCTTTCATCTTTTTCTTATCGTCTTTCTCCTTTTGTTTACTCCACCTCCATTATGTATCTTTCTCTCCTATCCCTCCTTTCTCTCATTTTCTTTCTCTGTCCTTCCTTCCTTCATTCCCTCTCCCTCCTTCCTTCCTTCCCCGACAATAGGTTCGACTTCAGGCATATCTGGGCGAGAGTCGGCGAGCATGACTTTGACAGGGAAGGAGACACACCCAGTACCAATGTGAGGATCGCTGACTTCCGCCTCCACAAGGACTTCAACCCGAGGGACTTCAACAACGACATCGCTATCTTAGTGTTGGAGCAACCAGTCATATACAATGACTTCGTGATCCCCATATGTCTCCCACCTTCCAGTCAACAGTTTACGGGAGATACTGTTACTGTAGCGGGTATGTGGTTGATGTTAGTGCTAACAGTTATTCGTTGGCACTGTCATAGCTCATGCGTTGGTACGGTCATAGCCATAAGTCATCTATATCATATACTCTACTCACTGCCATAAGTCATCAATATCATGAGTTGGCATTGTCATTAATCACCAATGTCATGTGTAGTTGTCATTATAACCGTCCAATCAGCTTACAAGGTTATACATCGTTCACACACAGGTTGGGGCGCCGTCAAGCACGAAGGTCCGGTGTCGTCTGTGTTAAGGAAAGTCAGTCTACCTGTCTGGACCAACACTGATTGCGATGAAGCTTACGACCAACCTATAAGGGATTCAATGATCTGTGCTGGCTTCCCTGGGGGGGGTCGTGATGCTTGCCAGGTGAGTGTAAGAGGTCATGAAGCCTGCCAGGTGAGTAAGAGGTGGTGATGCTTACCAGGTGAGTGTAAGAGGTCGTGAACGTCTGCCAGGTGAGTGCAAGAGGTCGTGATGCTTGCCAGGTGAGTGTAAGAGGTCGTGAACGTCTGCCAGGTGAGTGCAAGAGGTCGTGAAGCCTGCCAGGTGAGTAAGAGGTGGTGATGCTTGCCTGGTGAGTTTACAAGGTCGTGAACCCTACCAAGTGAGTACAAAATATAATCCCTATATCACTATCTATCCCTGAATCACTTGTCTATCCCTGAATCACTGGTCTATCCCTGTAACTGTATCCCTGTAAACCCCCTTAGGATGACAGCGGAGGCCCCATGATGGTACAGGTGAACGGCACGTGGACTATTGTGGGTCTGGTGTCCTTCGGAGTCAAGTGTGCCGAGCCAGGGATTCCCGGAGTCTATACCAGAGTCAACTACTTCCTCGACTGGATCAGTGATAACATCTGAATAATATCTCCACTGACTGATGCCACTACCACACAACAGCAGGAGGAGGAGGAAGGAGTAGGAAGAGTAGGGGAGGAAGATGACGAGGTGGAGTAGTGGAGGACAAGGAGTAGTGGAGGACGAGGTTGAGTAGTGGAGGACGAGGTGGAGTAGTGGAGGACAAGGAGTAGTGGAGGACGAGGTGAGTGAGTGGAGGACGAGGTGGAGTGAAGTGGAGGAGGACGACGGTGGAGTGAAGTGGAGGACGAGGTGGAAGGTAGTGAAGGACGAGGTGGAGGGACGAGGGTGGAGTAGTGGAGGACGAGGTGGAGTAGTGGAGGACGAGGTGGAGTAGTGGAGGACGAGGTGGGTGGTGGAGGACGAGGTGGAGTGAGTGGAGGACGAGGTGGAGTAGTGGAGGACGGGGTGGAGTGAGTGGAGGGACGAGGTGGAGTAGTGGAGGACGAGGTGGAGTAGTGGAGGACGAGGTGGAGTGAGTGGAGGACGAGGTGGAAGTGGAGGACGAGGTGGAGTGGTGGAGGACGAGGTGGAGTAGTGGAGGACGAGGTGGAGTAGTGGAGGACGAGGTGGAGTAGTGGAGGACGAGGTGGGTGGTGGAGGACGAGGTGGAGTAGTGGAGGACGAGGTGGAGTAGTGGAGGACGAGGTGGAGTAGTGAAGGACGAGGTGGAGTAGTGAAGGACGAGGTGGAGTAGTGGAGGACGAGGTGGAGTAGTGGAGGACGAGGTGGAGTAAGACATTTTAGAGAATATTTTGTATTGTATATTTGTAAATAAACCTTTTTCTACTACCTATAGGATCCTTGGTTATGGCCTGACCTGACCTGACCCATAGAAATGTATTTTGTTATATATTGACCTAACCCGACCTAACCATGACTCATAGGAATCAATTATTATGCAACCCGACGGATTCCGACCTAACCTGACCCACGACCTAACCTGACCTAACCTAAGCAGGACTCATAGGAACACCAATTATAACCTGACCTGAATGTTATTGCTAAGTCTTTGGGTCGATCAATAAACCCAAGTAAAAAAAAAAAAGAACTATCTAACAATGCCCAATATCCCTTTACACAGCTCCTCTCTCTAGTGCATTTCATCACCTGAATATATATAGTTACATTCTCCTCCATTAATACTACTTGAAGCTTTATATCATTAAAAAATTCTCTACCGTGACCTATTTTGACTTCTTTTCCTTCCTGTAAACACCTGTACCCCGCCCCCCCCTCATATATATCCTCACATCCCGATATTTTATGAAAGGATCCAATATTTTTAAGTACATCTTATAGACGCTAGCAAGATGGTAATGAAAGTCTTTAGATATTTGAAGTAAAAGGAATTTATTGATTGTAAAAAATTTCCAGTTTCAGTACATACACCAAGATCCACTTTATCAATCAACCTTTTCCCTCATACAAGCAACAGTTAAGTGTAGGAAGGTGCCACCAATTGACCCCATTGGGTATACACACACACACGGCTATGCTACAATACACTAAGAATGTACCAGTTAGCTTTGCCTCTCCATATACACTTCTGTACCAAGATATAAAATAGTTTAAAAGATTAAATAAAATTAAACAAGAATATAAACGTCCATTGACATAATAAACTCCTCCCTCTTACCCCTGGCTAATGCCCAACTCGTCTTAAGTATTACCAACTGATGTCAATGTTTACTGAACCTGTCCTCACAGAAGCACTTGACGGTCTTCCTATGAGCTGGATCAGACGAGGCCCCTCATTGTGGCTTCAACGTGCGAGTCGAGATAATAATTCCAATATTTGAGGATTCACCTGTTGTCCTCAAATGGCTATGACCCCACAGTGAACCGTAATGGAATGGATCTCATACATAGATAACTGGAATCGAACCAGGATCTTGAAGTTTAAGACATTGCTTCTGATACATAGTAGTTCGAATCTTTATCGTGAGGTTTAAGGCACTGGTTCTGATACCACTCTACGAGGATTCAAACCTATTTTATGATATCAAAGGTACTCTTTCATATTCCACACAACAAGATTCGAATTCCAAGTTTAAATGTCATGCTTTGAAGTTTATATTGTATCCACGAAATACCTCGGCTTTTGAAGTACAGTAGTAAAATATTGACAAAGAAAAGCGTGTTTCTTCATCACCGACTCATACACACACTTGGTGGTTTGTTCACTACTGACGTTTCCCATTTTTCCCTTATATACTATGCGTTTAGGCAATGCGTAGCTACTCATTGGTAGCCCCGTCTTCTATAGAATGTCAAGGTGTGTTGCCCATAGGTGTTTCCTATTTTCTGAGCGTAGTTTGACAAGTGTGTAGTTGTAGTTTCTTTCTTGTTATAAATACCGGTTGTTGATGCAACGTACTTTGTAGGGATGATTCCCGTTTTCTGTGTCCACTGTATTGTCATAAATAATTGCAAATCTTGACTGACTGTGTTGCTCATGGTTCTCGTTTTCTATGGATTGTCAATGCGCGTTGCTGATTGGCGGTTCTTATTGTTGTATTGTGTTGCCTTGCTGGTCACTTACTGATTGAGCCTGATCCAATCGCGGTACTCAGTGACTCTGGTGTACACGCCCGGACTGTTGGCCTCAGCACAGCGGATTCCCCAAGACACAATACCTACTACCGACCATCTTCCCGTTACTGTGTCCTGGAGCATAAGAGGCCCGCCACTGTCGCCCTGTGTGGGGTGATGTTTACATATCAATGACTGGAGTGGATACAAGAGGACTAATGCCCATTACTAATATTATCAGTGGGAAAATAATCATATATTCCTAATGCCCAGATGTTGCCCAGATGGTGCCAGTGTTTATATGGTGCCAGTATTCAATATATCATCATGCAATGCCAAATATTACACGAGGAACGATGTTAAATGGTGGCAGTTGCAATGACAATATAGTGACAATCAAGTAGAAGAAAATGAGATTTATTTCAACATTAATTTATTTTTAACCAAGGGTTTTAAGTCACTAACCGCTTTTTAACTCATTAGCCTCTTATATGAATCTATTAATCTCTTTAGCTCGTTAAGGCTCATTAACCTCTCCTGAAACACTTCCTAACCATTCCTCTGCATCCCATGAACCACATTTTTTGATACCTATGAATCAATCCTCTGAACCCCGTGAACCACCTTTTGAAACTGAACCCATGAACCACATTTTTTGATACCTATGAATCAATCCTCTGAACCCCGTGAACCACCTTTTGAAACTGAACCCATGAACCACATTTTTTGATACCTATGAATCAATCCTCTGAACCACGTGAACCACCTTTTGGAACTCTGAACTACATTTTTTTTTTTCAACTCCTGTGAATTCAAGACTAACCTGACACGAATCCTTGCCACCGGCCTTGTCTCCAGCACAAAGCTGTTTATCGATAATGTTCTGTTCGTACGCTGCGTCACAGTCTGCATTGGTCCAGATAGGTACGGACACCTCTTGAAGCGTTGGTGACACTGGCCCTCCGAAGTAGATGGTACCCCAGCCTGTGTTGGTGTAGAGAAGGTTTGCTTAGACGAATTGAGATTTGATTTGTGTGATTTTAGGTATACAGTCCATAATATAAAACAAACACGAACACCAGAAACCTTACCTATCACTTGTGCCACTCTGTTTACATATTTGTTGTCCCCATCAGGTAAACACACCGGCCAGATGTCCGCGTTGAAATCAGTCGTTCTAGCTAACTTGATCAGAGCGATGTCATTGACGTAGGTCGTGGTGTCGTAGGCTTCATGTATCACAATGTTCGAAACCGAGAAATCAGCCGAGCCGCTAGAGGACTGACTGAAATTGTATTCTCCCAACCGCACGCGGATGTTATTAGAGTCAAACCTATGATGGAAGGAGGAAGGAAATAATGATGATTGAGGGGAAATAATGGTGAATGAGGGGAAATAATGGTGAATGAGGGGAAATAATGGTGATTGAAGGGGAAAAAACATTGAAGGGAAAAGGTGATTGGGGGAATTAGTGGTGAATTCCCGCCAACCACCATAAGACAGTATAGTTACTTACCCTTGAACACAATGAGCTGCGGTGAGGACGTGTTGGTCGGTGACCAGCACGCCACCACAGTAAGCATTGTCTGCAGCGTTACCCCTCACCAGTGCTGCAACCCAGGGCCACTCTCGGGGGTCGGTGATGGTACCCCCGACAATACGTATGGGAGGAATCTTGCGTTGTTTGAGGTTAAGGCCACAACCTGGGAGTATAACCACACCGTGTTTTAAATATATATAGTGGATATACTTAGGTTATTGCTACACCCGGTCCGTTTTCCACTACTACTTCTTATAACGTGGCCTTCAGCCTCCCCCAATAGCCACACCTTCGCCACCATTTTATTACCTTAATATCCTAATACAAAGGCAGCTACCCTACAGTAGTTGAGTTAGTTAAGCCGCAGATCTATGCGGTATTCAGTGACTGTTGCCTCGGTCAATATCTGTGACAGTTGTCGGCTTTGGGGGCCGTATACCTTGTTCCCCTGAGGCAAAGAAATGCAAACCTAAGCTGAGAGGACAGCCGACATCTCAACCAGGCTGTAACGTAACTTCTGGGCTGCTGCTTCTGTTCGGATAACACCTCGGCCAGTCTTGCATACGAACATCTTGCACTTGGTCCCATCCCGTCAGAGGTTGTGAACACAACAGGGGAGTGAAGCTGCCTTGATCAAAGTTCTGAATTCTCTCCCCATACGCCCTACTACTAAAATTATTAACGGCAGGTTGTACTTACCATGCGATTCAGATGCGGGTGTGGTCGGCCTGGGCGTGGGTGCGGGCGTGGGTGCGGGCGTGGGTGCCACAGTTACACCATGGCTGTTATAGCTATGTGGACAGCAAGCCCCCACGTACCTGTCAACACCACAACAACATTGATGAAATATACACAACTTACCCAAAACTAACCGAACCTAATCTAACCCAACCTAACCTTTCACCTGCCACCCACCGTAACAGTAGTACTGACCTTCCATCGATGAAACAGACATAACTAAGGAAGACGTTGAAGTCACTGGCGAATTCTGGTAAGATACAGTGTTGAAGGAAGCGGCAACTCCCCCTCTCGAACCTGGGAGTCACACAGTCTTGACGGGGTTCGTCAGCCTGTCGTGAAGGGGGGGGGGGATAGAGCAGTTAAAAGAATATGATAGAAGTGTGTTGGAAAGTGTTGCGATAAACTATCCATTAACACTTTATCAACTGCCATCAACACTACCACACAGAGCCACCAGTCTTCTTCCCATATTTCACATTATTTCAATCTATTAAACTATTCACAAACCTTTTCTTAGCTTATAAAATCTTTTCTCGCCATTTAAAAAAGTTACTTACGAAGCCAACGCCAAGCAGGAAGGAGCGCCTCTCAGCAACAGCTCTGGGTGTTCCGGGTAAACTTGGGATAGCCACCCTGTCCTTTTTTTTGCCGCGTAACAGACCTTGTATCCACGTGATCCCTGATAGTGCATTGTCTGTTTGGAAGGTCAGGTCAGATTAAAGGTTATGGTGGGATGTAGGAAAAAATCAATCAATCAATATCTCTCTCTCTCTCTCTCTCTCTCACAAGTAAACATGAACGGGAAAGGAGAGACGGAACGTACCCACAAGCGGCTCACTCGTGCCTGCATTCTGATCAATACACTCTTGTGCCTGTCTATTCCTCCGCCTCTGACAAAATGGTTTCCGTCCAGGGGCGCCGCCGCTATTACCTGGTCTGTTACCGGGTCTTCCGCCGCCATTACCGGGTCTTCCGCCGCCATTACCGGGTCTGTTACCGGGTCTGTTACCGGGTCTCCGGTTGTTTCCTCCTCCTTGATTGGATGACACGAAACCCTGCCTAGCTGTGGGAGGACAGGCACAAGGGTTTCGGATTGATTAGGTATCGCTGTATTAATAATGACAACAATAACAGTAATAAAAAATAATACTAATATTAATAATAATAATAAAAACCAACATAATAAAGAAATATATTAAATAATTTACCTCAATTGACCAAATCTCCCAAGAAATTTCATTACCATAATTATAAACGAACTTATACCAATGTCCCATCACCACACACACACACCACCTCCACCACTAATGGCTCTATTAAAGGACCAATGGAGCAATGTAGGTGGATGATTCTTAAGCAAGTAGTTGTAAAAGAAAGCACAATGTAGCAATGTATAGAAAGCACACAAGTCTATAAATGTTCACCGTTGTTTTTTGTAGATTAATAGTGTTTCTCATTGCTATTTACTGTGGTAAGTGCGGAGTGGATATAGCATTGCCTTGTGTTTCTTGGTTCGATTCCCCCCAGTGAAAGAGGTAAGGTAGCTCCTTCCTGTCTATGTAGTGTCAAAACCCCCCCACTCTATCTACTTTCTACCAATAACGTCAATTTCTTTCTACTAATGACAAAACTTCTGTACTTTCTAAAGATCCTCTACTTACCCCCTGTTCGTACTTCCAACATTAGTCTCTACTTTCTTAATTCTACCTTTTTTTCTACTTTCTACTGACAACACTCGAAACTTTCTCACTAACTCCGTATGAAAGTCTGCGGAGGGTTGAAGGGTTGAGCTGGTTGCTGTGGAAAGTTGAATCCTCCGCCCTGGAAACTTCCTGTTGGATAGGGTGGAAAGTGAGGGGGTTTGGGAGGCGTAAAGTGAGGGGGGTCTGGGAGGCGTAAAGTGAGGGGTTTGGGAGGCGTAAAGTGATGGGGGACTGGGAGGCGTAAAGTGAGGGGTTTGGGAGGCGTAAAGTGATGGGGGACTGGGAGGCGGAAAGTGAGGAATACGAGGCGAAAAATACGATCAGGGGGAGGAAAGTTAAGGAAATGGGGGGGGAAGTTAAGGAAATGGGGGGGGAAGACTATTGTTCCCCTTAACTACATCCTGGACTTTCTACTTCAAGAGAAATAAATTAATTACTACTTTAACTATACTCAAAGACAATATGTAGCTAACAAGTGACAAATGAAATCTCTCACTTTATATAACTAAGCTTAAAAGAAAAAGTGACAGCTTTATTGATAATATAGTTAATGGAATCAAACATTTATATCAAGCTTTAGCTGTGGTAGATTTTACTTGAATAAGCTTTAGGTGAAGAAAGCTTGATTATATATTTGACTCCATAAACTCCTTATTTATGGAAAACTTTGTGAAAAGGTTTTATTCAATTTAAGGCGTAGTTGTGAAGCTTAATAAAGACAATTCCCCAATTATAAATATATAAAAAAGCTTTAGCTGTGAAAAGCTTGAATATATAGAAAGCTTCAAGTACACTACAAAATACACTTTCTAAAACACCGTCTGTAAAAAGCTTGTATAAATAAACCTTTAGCTGCCATTAGTTTCACACATGGAATGCTTAAGCTGCATTCTTTTTTAATTGTGGGAAAAATCCCAGACAAAGCTTATTTAAAGACATTTTTAGCTGATAAGCTTGAGACTAAAGCTAATATACCAAAAAAGAATTTAACAGCTTAAAGCTTAATAAAGAAAGTTTTACCTCTACAAAGCTACACTTATTGCCCAAAAATATTAATAGTTACCTCTAAGGACCATGAACATGAATAAACTTTAACTGCAAAAGTGCAAAGAATCTTATTTACAAACTACTTTATGTTAAGTCCTGCTTCTATACTCATCTCCTAGGATCCAATCACGACTCTGCTTGGGCCACCAATCAACCAAAACAGAGAGGCACTAATCTAGATTCTCGGAGATAGGAAGCAGACTCATAGAAAACGGACGTCACTAGGGGTAACTTACCGACATTAAATGGATTCCCCCCACCACCTCGATTTCCGTTGAATCCGACTAAAATGCAGAAATATCTTTACAATTTAGTCTAAAGAAGAAGATTTACTAGAGACAAATATTATAGCAACAGGAATAACAAAATAAATTACTCTAAATAAAAAAAACAAAAGTTCTGTAAATATTGGTACACCCCACTTAACAAAATTCCACTTAAGTTTCCCTTAACGAAATCAGCACATTACAGTTCTGTACTACCATACTTTGCCGCCTGTAGCCTATTACATATATTTTGGCCTAAATTTGATACTACAACTACTACCACCACCACTACTACCAAAACAAATTACAATATCCTCATCAACAGTTATAGTTCTTCCCTAAAACTTACACGACGTAACGTGACATAAAGAGCACGAAGGAGCCTATGTGACAATGCATTGGTAAGCTCTGGAGGGAATCACCTGAAGATAATATAAACATTTCTATGGGGGTAAATATGCTTCGTATAACGTCCTTTCGCATAACAGGAACATAAGCATTACGTTAAGTGAGGTGTACCGTAACGCAAGGTGAATAAAGAAGGGAAACATTAACAAAGTGGAATTTTTTTTAAAGTCAATAAAAGTTAACGAATTCATAGAAAATTTACGGAATGAGAAGGTAAACTATTAAAATTAAACAAAAAACGAAATACTTACAAATTTACTATAAATAAAGAATGAAAATTATGAAAACTTGAAAAATATAATTAATAAAAACAATACCAGAAAAGAAAACAAAAATCTTAAATAACGTAAAAGTAAAACAAGAGTAAAAAAAATACAAAATAATAATACCTATTTTTAAAAGTAAATAGGTATGATAAACTGATAAATGAGAAGTAACAAAAATAAAAGATAAATTTACCACAAAAGTTAGAATTATTAAAACGCACTAAAAACAAAAAGAAATAAAACAAATTCGATAAAAGTGAGAATTTAAAGACTGATTGAAACTTAAAATACAGAGAAAGACAATAATTGAGTATTGAAGATGAAATAAGAAGACGAAAAAGAAAAGAAACAAATTAATAAAACAAAACCGAAAAATTTTAAACCAATAAAAATTAATACAACAGAATTTTAACATTACAAAAATAACTAATAAATTAAAATAAAAAACAGAAAATACAAACTATTAAAATCACACATTCTAATAACAAGTGACAAAGAAAATTATACAAGTTAGCACATTTAAAACGTCACCAGTAAGAGAAAAGTGAACAAAAAATTCTAAAATTCAAAATGACAGAAAAAATAAGGAAAATAAGTAAAAAAAAAAATAGGTAAAATTAAGTAGATGAAAGAAGGTTCATAGTTGGGGTGACAGAAAGACTCCGCCGCCGCCCCTCCCGCACTAGATGCAGTCCTCTACACACCACACTTGCAGATGGCGGCCTTGTCAGTACCGTATCTGCCTCTCGAGTCGCCTCAGAGCTCACCATCCTTGCGTTGCCGCTGGGTGATCGTCATGCCCGAGGTGACAGCCGAAAACGTGTAAGTCTCTGTGTGTGTGTCATGTACGTACAAAAGGCTGAGACAAGAATGAGGGAGACCCGAGTTTGGTCGCCCTCCAGTGGGTATCTACGGGATGTGACTCCCACCGTGGCTACCAGACAGACATAGTGAGAAAGAAAATTTGAAAGAAGAAAATGAGAGAGTTAGTGAGAGGCAAATTCAGAGAAAGAATGAGAGCCAGATAGACGTAACGACTTAACAATAACTTACACTGTCTCTTCACGCGGCTGTTCTCCTCCTCCTCCTCCTCCACAGCGGCAGTCACCACCACCGCCACCACACACGACACCACCAGCGCAGCCAACACCACGCCTCTCATCCTGCCCAAACAATAGTTAACAACACGTTATTGTGGAAACAAACAAACAAGAAATAGGACATAACAGGGAAAAGTGGTGATAAAAGAGGAATTATGAGAGGTGATAAATAGCGAGGCAAATATAAAAGAAAACTAATACTAATAATAATAATAATGATATATATATACAAACATACATTGGTTATTGTATGGATAGTGAAACGAAAGAAATATACCGAGTAATTATAGTTTTAAATATTCTTCCTCTCTTACACACAATGGTTGCCTCTCGTGTACTAAGATGGCCAGCCCAAGGGCCACCTAGGCGTGAATTTGTTTAAGGTGTAGAAGCTGTCACCAACACAACAACCATTCCCTGAGTTAACGAGTTGCATGACCCAGTGTCAAGGAATAATAGTCCGTGAACACCTGACAACTCGCCAACTGCACTGGCTAACCATTAACCCGGAACACGATCCGCAAATCGATTACATCCAGGTCCCCAATTACTGCTGGGTAGACAGAGGCAAATGGCGTAAAGAAACTTGCCCAGAGTTTCACCCTGCCCGAGGATCGAACCCGGGTCAACCCCCTTGCGAGGTGAACAAGCGGACCATTACACCACACACACAATTGACGAGAGTATACGATAGTTTTAAGCTATATAGAGTAAGCGATATGGAGAAAACGATAGATGCAAATCGAGATAGAGAATGCCAGCTGCTGCAATACAACTCAGGGGCACCGCTTCGAAACCCGTAATTAGTGGAGTTAATACTGTCGGCAACCTGGATTTTTTTTAACGATCGTTTTTACACATTATTTATTATTTGTTTCCGTTCTGTTAAGAA